GGGGGGGGGGGGGGGGGGGGGGGGGGGTCCGAGAGGAGCACATGCGAGACAGAAAAGGAAGGGAGAGACAGAAAGAGCAAGGGCATATCCAAGGGGATCAAAACCTAAACCGCCGGATATTTCTGACCTTGAGGGCGAGTGGGTAGAGCGGGGCTGAGGGAACTGGGGGACTGTGGGGTTGGCGGGAGGGTGAAGGGAAGGAACAAAGACATGGAGGAAGAGAAAGAGAGGAGCGGAGTCTTTGGAGAGCAGCTGGAAATCCTCCAGAATCCTCTGCTCAAACCAACCATAAAATTCCAACTGAAGCCACAAAACCAGTATGAGGACTTGACGAGGGTGCCCTCTGCCCACAGTGTGTGTGTGTGTCTGTGGTCTGCCTCTGCGTGTGAGCGTGCATGTGTACCATATGTGATTAAAGGATCCGAGCAGAGGAGGCCAGGAGGCAGACGAGTGATGCAATCCGCGGGAAGCGAAGGAGAGGACAAGAGGGCGACAGGAAGGAAGGGAGGGAAGAGAGGAAGGAGGAATTGTTGCTTCTGGGGATCCAGCTCTCCAGGAATGTGCTGCTGGTCATGTCCCACGCAGTCGCGGGGAGAGAGTTGCATTGTGGGAAACTCTGCGGAGGTGACCACCTGTTTTCGTGTGCTGCAGATTGCAAACGGATGTTAAAAGTCTCAACACATTATAAAGGGTTAGATTTTGTGAGTCATTTCTTTTCATTTAAAAAGCCACAACAATCTTTTTTTTCTGTCTCCCTGAACACACTGGTCTCTGCTGCTGCAGGCTACAGGCCTGAATCCACCCTCGCACAGCAGCACGGATCTATTTTGGTGCAACCTATTCAATGTCCGTAAGTACCCACACAGGCTCGGTGGGTAAGGTGATTGGTAAGCCTGGACAAATAGTCTATTTATGAGCATCACAAGAGTGGGCGCAGGCCGTCCTTGAGCTGGTTTTTCTGCCGTCTGAAGTGCTAAGTGGCATATACAGTTACAATAGATACTGTAGAACATTCGCAAGGACGAGTGAAGGTGGAGGAAGGGGTGGGGAGGGAGTGCGTGAGAGAGACAGAGAGAGAGCACTGGGAATAAAGATGGTGAGTCAGAGGCCATTTGGAAAGTAATTTCATCTCTGAATGCCGTATATCTTTTCATCAATGAAAGGAAAGTATTTTTTCCGAACGAGGCAGACGCGAGAAGAAAAAACATCTCTGTTCGGTGAAATTGAGTCTATTTGAGGGGGAAGAGGACAGACACCATTCAAGGGTTGTTGTTTATTTTTGCACTGTATTTACTTGACACAGGTTTTTGTCACTGTGCAATGTGGGGGAAGAGGTCCGGGGCGAGACTGAACAATCTGATGTTTAGCAGGTGGAATGTTTACTGTGTTCACCATCTGCTAACGTTTTCTCTTTACCAGTAAACATTAAGTATATCTGAGGGTGATGAGATTTCCATTAAATTTGAAAGCGCTCATAAAGCAAAGTTATGGAAACATTAAAATTTTGACTAGATGAAAAGTCACTAGGGTCATTGGGATTCTGGGCACCGTACAAATCTGTACCACATTTTATGGCAAACCATTGAATAGCTGTTAAAATATTTCAGACCGGACCAAAGCGTCTGACCAGCGGATCCCTGGAGCCACTAGCAAGCCCATAAGATTTTGACCCTGCGTGTTGTGATCACATTTTGTCTTGTGTGTGGCCGTGTCTTTGGTAAACACTGTGTCTGGCCCCAAAAGAGTCTTCTGCAATTTTTGTGAATCATTGCTTTCTCATGTCCTGATGTTCCTCTGAGGTTTTAGGGGTTCCAGTGATATTCTGGATAGGCTGAGTGTGGTGTGGCATCCAGCCAGTGACAAAAACAGGGGAAGATAGAAGAAGGGAAGGGGAAAGTGTGAGACTATCATTGACAGGCCTGGACTGCTGTGCGTAGCCTGGCAAAGCAACCTTGGCCTTGACAAGACTACACAAACATCTATAATATTTGCCTCCTGCCAATTTCTTACTTATATAAATATGGGTGGAGTTCCATGTCCATTTACTAAAAACACTCTCCAAAACCGTATTCAATCAATTAAATGTATCCCGTTGTCAAAGCAGAAACAAGTTATTGTTAAAAAAACCTTATTGGTGCCTGTTGAAACACAAGTCTAAGAGGATTAAACAAAGTTCACGAACATGTTTTCTCTTAACTGAGTTCAGTGACTGGAGGGGGAAGAGAGGGACACCACAGAATACTGAGTCGGACTGGTTTACGATTGGTCTGGCATCGGCTGTGTGGTCGTATGGGCGAGCACAAAGAGAATGCTGCGGTTATTCTTGGACCACCAGTGTCTGCACTTCCATGTAACGTTCTGGTGTTTACCATCGCTGGTTAAGTTCATCTAGCCGGGGATTATGAGTCTCGAAGAGGTCCTGCGAGGACACTGACTGACTGACTTACCCTCATTGCATCCAAATTAGGGTGTGTGTACGAGCCAGCACGCAAACCAAACCGGGCTGCAACCACCAACACCGAACTCACTGAGTTCTTCTGTTTTTCTTCTTGCTTCTTGCACTGTGTGTATGTGGAGCTTCAAATTCAAACCGGCCTTGGTTTTGAGATTTGCCCTCTTGCACAGTACACATTTTATACGGCTGTTTGTGCACTGTGGAACGTCAGGGTAGATATTTTTGGTTCTGTGGAGGAGTCAACCCATAGCAGAGCAAACATGACCCATCGTCGACAAAATGTTTTGTTTGCTGAGCTCGTCACCTTTCAACGCGTGTTTGCACCTCATCCTTATTTTCTCCCCCCCCCCCGACAATGTGATGATGAATTTTAATTTGTTACTGGATCACTTTGTGATGCAGCTGGCTACTGAGGCAACACATCAACCCTCCTCTGTTTCTCCCCCCTAGCTCACCTCTGAATAACACAAAATGCCCCTGGAGGATTGTGAAAAGTCAGCCAGTATCCCTCACTGTTGAAAATGACATGTTTTTGAGACGACTGTTTGACCTTTTGTTATTTCAGTGACGCAACATGCTGAGAGTTCATTCCCTTGATTACACGTGTCAACCAGTGACGACATGTAGAAACCTCACGTCTGCTTCTCGGTCGTATCTTCAATCTGACAAAGCATCCTGTGACAACATCACAAACAACCGACCTGACCTGGTGTTTAATGTTTACGTCTGACATTGACCTGAATCTGTAGCCTCTGAACTTTTTTTTTTAAATATATCACATTATGCTCCACATGACTATACTAGCTGCACATGACTAGTAACTAATAACTGCTTAATGGGTATGTGTTATCTTATCAGTTCCAGAACTGACAGCATTTCTTTGACATTTCTATGAGACTGAGTCCACTGTGAAAAATAAAAATGAGAAATGCATTTTCAGTACTGTGCCCAAAGTATAAAATGTTTCAGTCATGTCAGAACTTGCACTAATGGAAACCAAGAATTAAATTGTATGACTTGTCTTGTTAATTTGCACATTCAGCATTCTATTAAACTCTGGGCTTATTTACCATAATACACACAATATTAATATCTATGCAAATACTTTTGAGTCCCGTGAGAATTCAGTTACAGATGATTAAATCTGCACATGTAGAATATTGTGTGTTAGTTTTCCACGCAAAGATGATTCAGAGAGCACCAGTTATGAACAGGGCAATCTATAAAAATATTATGTGTGTGAGTTACAAGGGAGTAATGCAATAAAAGTCAGGCGAACACAGTGTTCCAGGTCAGGGCTGGGGTCTGTCTGTGCAGCTTTGGTCCAGAGAGCAGCATGAGTCACCGGAACAGAAAAGAGATTGCTAGCTTGCAGAATTCATTAAGACAAATGTAAGGTATATGGATTTCCTCTGGAAGAGAGAGAGAGAAGAAAAACATCCGTTGGCAGCTGCAGGAGCAGAAACCCATTGACTCCACAAGTAGCTTTCCAGACACCTTTGGAATGACAGCATGCTTTATGTATTTCTGAGTTATGTCCATGTGGATGTAAACAAGTTCACTTAAATCTTGCAGCGTGTCGGCATGTTTTTTATGAGGCTTGGTACCAATCTCATGAAACTGCTATCACAATAAAAGAAGTAGTGAAAACCAGATAGTTTACTACGTCTCTCCTCTAGAATCAGAGTAATCAGCGTGAAAACTGATCATGCTGAAGAATGTAAGCTTGGTTTTTCCAATGCCTTTTTTTTCCTCTCCAATAATTGCAAAGCATATCACGGTTCCCTTTGTACAATCGCGCCCCCGTATGGCCACAGGGCAGCAGTGCAACAACAAATACAATTTAGGTTACTTCTGCTTAGAATTACGGTAACATCATTATGTGACATTATTTAAACAGTAAACAGTTTCTATGTATATTTTCCTCTTTAACTTGTATCCTTTTCAAAAGCTGGGTTGACTGTGAGACACGTGGCCTAACTTTAAATGGTGTTAATTAGCTTGCTAACATTAGATTAATCCAAAACCCTTTACTGTGGAATAATGTATAGTTCTGTGAAAAGCTCTAGCATCAGTAAGTTGCATTTTAACGTTTCTTTCACACTTGTGTTTAAAGTTAAGCCACATTTCCTAGAGTCAACCAAGCTTTAAAAACAATACAGGTTAAAAATCAAATATATAGAAACTGTTTAAAGTACGAGCTAACATTAGCTAGCTAAATTGTCTTGAGAGTAAACCCGGAAATGCCCTGAATGTACAATATGTGAGGAGCGATTCTTCCATATCTTCAAGTTACGATGCGTGTTCGCAAACAAACCTGTTAAACTGATCCAGGAGCAGTAAGTGCTACTCGGGTGTTGGAGCTTTAACCCGCAGCACATCGATGGAGAACTGATCTGGAATCACCGGATGTCTCGGGACCGGCTTCTAGAGGAAATATCCTCCGTCGCAGAGAACATTTGTGAAGGGCTGCCATTTTAGCAAGCTTACGGTAAGAAAACTTGCTCCGTGTTGTCGTGTGGTAGTTTAGCCGAGCTGCTGCTGCGGCTTCACACATGCTCGGTGCGGAATTCATTTGTCTCCTCCGGGTTTTTTCTTTTTGCATTGCTAAGTCCACGTTAGCTCAACCTAGCTTGTTTTAGCATCGTGTCCGTGGCTCTGCTGTTAGCTGTTGAGTATCCTAGCCGTGGGCATTATGAAGACTAAACATTATTCGCCGTGTTGTCCTTGAGATGCTGATGTGTTTCAAATGCACATTGTCTTACAAAGATAGTTTCACTGAACTCAACCAGCTTTTAGTTCAATAGCAGCTGCTCCTTTTGCTCTCGAGGAAGCGACCCTTGCCCTAATATTAGCCCCAGTAGTGATGACACGTGTAATAATCGAACTACTGCTCCAAAATAAGTCATTGATAAATATTGCACTGCCAACACAGCTGCCCTGAAGTTCACATGCATGTGATCAGAGATAAAACGTCACTCACCAAAGTTCATACCTCCACCAAGGCCCATCAGAGAAGAGTTTCTCCAGATCCTGATTTTTATTTCATCCTCACCTAACTGCACACATTCATGAATTACAGTCCCCTTGATATGCATGTTTTGTCCCCGTCAAGTTCCAGAAGTTATCCTCTGACATATTTACTGGGACTGATCCTGAATTATTACCTTTCCCAACAATTTATGTGACAATCCATCCTGTAGATTTTGTGTAATCCTGCATTCGAACAAATAAACACAGATGGAAACTTAACGTCCTTGGCAGAATTGATTATAACCTAATACATAGATATTGCAGAGACTAGGAGAAATAGGGAGCAGGAGTAGGGGGTTTAACAGATTCAGCTCATTGAGCCCAGAGGTCAAAGTTAATGTGCTCCTGCGTTAAGGGGGTAAATGTCTCATTCCAAGGGCAAGTAGGTGTATAAACGATGTATAAACCGAACAACATGGAGTTGGTTGAATTGGACAGAGACATATCTTGTGAGAGGGAAACTTAAGTTATAAGTTATTTTTCTCTGAGAAATCAACAAAAAATGCAATGTAAAAAAAAAAAAAAAAAGTGGTTGAGACATTTTTGTGTAATAACCCTGTCGGTGAAATTAATGAAACTTATATGACAAGTCTCGGTTTCTTTTCTGTTTCTTTCCGCAGCACAAATGCATCATGAAGCGCAGAGTGGTCCAGCTCACCGCCAAGTCGCACCATGAAAACTTCCTGGCTTCTCTGCATCAGCTGAGGCTGCAGGGACACTTGTGTGATGTCACATTGCACGTCCAGGGAGACGAGCAGGAGTTTCGGGCCCATCAGGCGGTGCTTGCAGCTTCCAGTGGCTACTTCAGGAATATCCTTCTCATCCAGGATGTAGCCCAAGAAACTATTTCCCTCTCAAATGTGCGTTCTGATGATTTCTCCAAGTTTTTGGAGTTTGCGTACACGGGTAAAGTGGAAGTTGACAGCAAAAAGATTGCTGATGTGCGAGCAGCGGCAGAGTTGTTGGACTGTAGAGATCTGTCAGAGGTTTGCGATGAAGCCATGCATGCTGAGATTTTAGAAACGTCTAAAAAGAAAACACCTGCATCAAATGTTGTAGATCATTATTACTTACAGTGTGACGATAAAGAAAAAGGGGCCAAAGGGAAGAAGCAGCTTGGCAGGTTAGTTCTGAAGCGGCAGCGCTCACCACAGGGCTCTGAGAATGAAGTCACTGCGAAACAATCTAAGGTTAAGAAAACAGTGACGAATGAAAAAAGTGAAGGGGGACAGGTGCAACAGAGGAAATCAAGCCGCAGAATCCTTCAGAAGCGTTTAAACGCTACAAGAGAGGCTTCAAACAGTGAAAACCAAGTTACTAATGAGGACACAGAGGAGTTTGAGGACAGAACTGAAGTCGAGGCTCAGCCAGAGAATCGAGCAGAGAGAGGTGATGAGTCTTCATGTGGAGTGCCGGGTTCTGATGTGGACAACTGGGAACATGAGGACAATGCGCAAAGTAATCCTGAAGACCTCATGCTATCTGTGGAGGAGGATGAGGAGGAGGAGGGGGAAGAGGGAGAGTCCAAGGTGACGTCAAAAAGAACGTCCAAAGCCCAGTTCCAGTGCGACAAGTGCCAACGGACCTTCCACTACGAGAGGAGCTACTTGAAGCACATCAGGTTGGACATTATAGTGATCCTCAGATTAATTCACTGATCTTTACAACAGCTCCCTAAAGCAAACAATCATAGTGTTTATTATGAGCCACTATTTGGCAGGAGATAGGACTAGTTTCAGATTCATTTAAAGCAAATTTTCCCCAGTGATGTTCACACCACATCCTGATAATCTCTTTGTTGGTATTATAGTTTGATACCACGTGTTGGAACTAATTTGCACACCAGTTCCTCAGCACAGCAGTGTCCTACCACACGTTACCTGGAAGTAAATAGTGTATTCACCTCTAATGCTGGAGCTATGTCAGATGATCATGATACTAAAAACAACACTTCTGATATTGCTGTGACCCATTACTGTTCTTCTGCCCAGCACGTACCATGGAGTGAAAGCAGACGTCGTCTATCGCTGTGAGACGTGCCAGCAGACCTTCGCAAACCGCAGCAACTTGAAGATCCACGAAAAGCACGTCCACAGCAACGAGAGGCTCTTTTCCTGCACCTCCTGCACAAAGACCTTCAAACGAAAGAAGGATGTCGTCCGCCATCAAAGACAGGTGAGGATGCATGAAACAACAAGTCAAGTTCGGTGCTATTCTACTGATAAAATATTTAATAATGCAATCTGCATTTTTGTCTCCCACCCCTGTTGCTTCTCAGGTGCATGAACGTAACAACCAGCGTCACATCTGCCCTGATTGTGGAAAGTCGCTCAGCTCCAAAACAGCACTGTTGTTGCATGAGCGCATACACACTGGTGCAAAGCCTTTTGAGTGCACTGACTGCGGGGCCAGATTTACCCAGAATGCTGCACTCAAGATGCACCGCAGGTACAGAACTCACAGATGACTGGAAGTCAAAATTTGGGGGGAGGAGTTGTGTAAATGCTAACAATTTAAACCAGAGGGTTGAAGTTTTAATTTTGGGGAAGTCAAGAAGAAAGTTGAGCGAGCAATCCTCACCTGCTAGGACAAATTCCCAGAGTGCAACAGCATTCTGCTTTATGGTCTGAGAACGTGTCAGTCTGTCAAAACACTGCAATCACACAGAAACTCTGTCCGTCCCATAAGACTGTATATAAAGATGAGTGATGCGTCTCCACTTCCTCCCACTGAAATAACAACATGGAGCTAAAATATCCCGGGTACGGAAGTTGGAAGTTGTCATGTCGTCAATCTTTATCAAACATGATCCGTCCAGTCATAAACTGTGGACATAAATACACAAAACCAGTGAGTAATTATGATTTGATAGTGATAGCTGGGAATTGTAATTGAACACACAAACACATTGAAATACATGAAATATTGGAGGTTTAAACTATGCCTGTTTGTAGGATTCACACAGGAGAGAAGCCATTTGCGTGTGACGAGTGCGACGCCAGGTTCACTCAGAAGCACATGTTGGCTTATCATAAGAGATCACACACAGGTAAGACTGATAATAATATTACAGCTATAAACATTTCTGTATTATTTTATACATAAGTTTTACTGAAGATTTGATTCCTCACGAATATGTTCCTTAGCTGAGATTGTCCCTAAAGTAGTCCTTTTGGATTGTAGCCACACTGCTACCTACACACATCAGACGACATGTGAAAATGATGTTTCATTTGCTGCTTGTTCTTTCTCTTGGTAGGAGAGAAGCCTTTCATGTGTGAGGCCTGTGGGAAAAGCTTTGCATCTAAAGAATACCTCCGGCACCACTCAAACATCCACACTGGCTTCAAGCCGTACAAGTGTGAACAGTGTAGCCGAGGCTTTGCTCAGAGAAATTCTCTTCACCAGCATTTAAAGATACACACAGGTAACTGCAAGATCACTCACACTTTGTTTTTCATTTTAGGGCATCATCTGCTTTTACATATAAAAATTGTTCTTGTTCTCAACCTCCTCCGTGTCCTTCGGTTTTAATACCACCTGTGCGTGCTTGTTCCGTCTAGGTGAGCGTCCGTACAGCTGTAAAGACTGTGACAAGCATTTTACCCAGATCAACGCCCTGCAGAGGCACCAGCGTATCCACACAGGAGAGAAACCTTACATGTGTGGCCTTTGTAACCGCACCTTTACAGACAAGTCCACCCTCCGCAGACACGCTTTGGTTAGTGGTGCTTATCTTACTGTCGTCATTCTATCTGTAAGGGTTTTTTCAAATGTGACTGTGTGTTTGACTGGACCGACACATTTAAAAAAAAAAAGGATACGTTGTGTTTAAAGTGCTTTGACTGCTATAAAAAATAATGTGAGGTCTTTTAACGTTCAGACTCACGACTCCGAGGCTCCCTGGAAGACCTACCTGGTGGTTCTGGAGGGAAATGTGGAGGACAAGAAACCCAAGTCCAGCCCTAAGGGAAAGACAAAAAAAGCAGGAGCAGGAGAGAAAAAGAGCCCATCAAGAAAAAGTGGCGGTGGTGCTGTGACGGGTGACGCTGTTTCCACAGGTGCTGAAGGTGTCACTGTTGCTGCCGCTGATGCCCCTTGTGGTGTTGATGCTGCTGTTGATGCCGCCGGTAAAACCAACACAGAGTCCATTGTGGTTCCAGCTGAGCCAGTCACTCTACCATCTGAATGGACCAGCCATGGAACCATTGCTCTGGTCAGTCACGGCGGGATCACCGTCATCCACACCGAGGTGCCACCTGGGACGCATATCCAGCCCATCATGACCACTGATGGCACAAGCACCAATGTCATTTCCTTAGATGGTTCCTCCATCCCCTTCTCTATACCTGTCTCTATGGCTCATCCCATCCCCTTGTCCTCCGAGGCGTCCTCCACCTCTTTGTCCGTACCCTCAGTCCTCTCCATTCCTGTCTCTGAGGCCACACTGGCATCGGTCTCCGAGATCCCAGCTGTTTCAACATCATCCGTCCTGGAAGCTGCTGTGTCACAGACCATTCTGGCTCAGGTTTCAGAGTCCAAGATCACCCGACCAGAACCTGATATTCAGACTGTGATTGTCAGTGACAAGGCCAAACAAACGTCAGCCGTCCAAAGCGATGGACAGGAAAAGACAGCAGGAAACTCTGGATGAAATTAAAAAGACCCCTGATCAAGACGCTGTGTAGAAAGTGGCTGTAAATGTAAAGCTCTTTGTGTAAATATAAAGCTCTTTATCTGTGGCATTTCAACCCTTCAGTAATGATATTTTTTGTATATACTTTGGAATTAGCAATTAGAAAATGTATTCTGACTTTGCCATATCTGTGATCTTCAGTGTTTATAACAACATGTTGAGATGTTAAGGTATTCATTGGGAAATGCTACACGCTTAAGAGATGTAACCAAGTGTTGGGTATAATTAGCAAATGGACTAAAATAAAATTTAACATGTTTGGTAATGTACCGCATGAAATGTTGCATAAATTAAGTTGAATACAAATAAAATGAAGGCGATGTTAGTTAATAACAAATAATGCCAAACATCACATCAGGTTCATTCCATTCAGCCCTTCTGTCGTCATATATAATATAACGTCAGGAGTTACATCTTGGACTTCCTGCAGGATGATATGGGAACCTTGTCAGAAGTCCTTGACAGCGAAAGACCCCCCCACCCCCACTGAATTAGCTTTCCATACATCTGTGGAATGACAGCATGCTCTTTGCAGCCCTGTTGATTTATTTAAGTTTGAATGTCAACGAGTGAACTTAAATCCTTCAAAGTTCTGGCACTTTACTGTTTAACTACAGCTGCATTTAAAAGTAGAGTCACAAGGTTGTCACATATAAGGTCAAAGGCAGGGCATTGTGGGATAGAATACCTTTATTATTGTCCATTCGCACAAGCATACAGATCATATCCAAGGTCCATTCTCATTCCATTCTGGAAGAAGCTGGATACGCAGGGCGACTGACCCTTGAGTAAAAACTTTGGTCTGGCTCACTAGTGGATGTGACACGACAGTAACCTACACATGCTTAGCAACTGGCCAGATGAAAGGTAGTAAACCTTCACCGAGTTAGTTAACGACACGACACAGCACACGGCACAGAGATGAGTGACTAATGATGCGCGGTACTCCCAAGATAACTGCCCTGGGAATAAGGAGCAATGGTTCCCACGTCAGTGCCTCTCATTTAAAAATACAGCTCACATGGGCAAACCTTAACATTTCAGCCTCAAACATTAAAAGTATTATTACATCAACAATAACTAAGGTGATAATAAAGGAACTTTTAAGTAATCAAATCATAATTATGTATGGAAAAGGTTAGGTACAAATGTTTAACAGTCTACATTTGGTGCATATCATCCCCCTCCTTCTAGAAGTTGATAAAAATAAAATCTTTATTCATTTTTTGTTTTAATGGTGATGATTTTGAAGAACGTTCATAACATTTATTTCCTCCTTCTCTTTTAGGTAACACAATACAAATTAAGATAATAGTACATTCTTTAAATAAATACAATGATAATCTTATGTACACCAAACAGACATTTAAATAAGTAAAATATATATTAAACTAGATTTAAAAAAACAAGCTGCATCTGACTAGGAAACAAAAAGAGTAAAAAACATGCAGTGGTTGTTGTTAATACTAACGTTAGTTTCAATACGATATACCGCTCTGAAATCCACCAGCACGGACTTCAGCAGAAAAAGGTATGCAGCAATCCTCTAGGCAGAGGTGAGGGCGAGAGGATTTACATTCTGACTAGATTCAGATATGTTCTGGAGGAAAGCAAGTAGTGCTGTGAATGTGTAGCAGTGGGATGTTCAAAATCATCAGCAGACACTCCTGTCCTGATGCTATACACAGTGAGAGTGTGTGAGTGTGTGTGTGTGTGTGTGTGTGTGTGTGTGTGTGTGTGTGTGTGCGTGCGTGCGTGCGTGTGTGTGTGTGTAAGCATGCGTGATGGATTTGTCCCTCTGTGCTGCGCTTCTAACTTGCATGTCGCTCATTTCAGATCCCCTTCGTCGCCCTGGATGGTCTTTTTGATGCGCAGCAGGAGGGTTGTGTGCCACTGGTCCAGACGTGAGATCGAGTCAAACTCCTTCACCTGCAGACAGAAAAGAACGCAGACACTAGAACCCGACTGATCCAATAGTTACGATATAAGACCTTCACTGAAATATCAGTATACCTGTTTGTTGCAAAATTTAAAAAAGTTACAGTATTATCAAATGTGCACAGTGAGACATAACTTTTAAGCCCGAATTTGCAAGTTTGTTATAACCAAGAGAGATTACTTGTGTTTTGGTTGAACTTTGAGTTAACTTTAAAATATGTTTACGGCTCCGTAAACATGTTTTCAGCTCCGAAGCTCGGCTCCATCTGCACTAGTTTCATATAAACAGAGTCCTGAGAGACAGAACAGATTCCTGAGATCCAGTTTTCATCTCTTATGAATACACACGGGATTCAACAAAACTACAATAGCTGAAGCAGAGGGATTTTACCAGTTCACCAAAAACTTTCATAGTGTACACATGACTTACTGCATCTGTAAAAGCTTCACTGTTCTGCTCTTCATGTGCCTCAAGAAGTTTCTATAAAGCAAAAAAAGAAATGTAGGTTACTCATAGAACTGGTTCACTGAGCCATCGGCTGCCTCTGTGTTGTCAGCATCGACTTACCTTCAACAACTTGCATTCTCTGGAGTCTGAAAAAGCTGGGAACATCTCCTCATATTTTTCAACTGCAATCTGTGGAGACACAGCGTGTTAAGATTCTACCACAGCTCTCCGTCCCTATCCTAAGACTGAACCACAAAGGTATAAACTCGCCTTAGCGTTGAGCTCGTCGACGATGAAATGACACAGGGAGGCTTTGAAGAAATACTCTTTGGCGCTGTATTTCAGCAGTGGGTTGTCCATCGTATTAGCTCCGACCTAGATGCATCCAAATCATAAGAAATGGATTAGAAATGTCAATAATCAGTGGGGATGGAGAAAGTGAAAGCGTGACGCAATAATGTCAGCAGTAGCCACCTGCTCGTAGATCTCAATCGCTTTCTGGTACTGCTCCAGCTGAGCAGAGTAACCCCCAACCTTCAGCAGACACTTGTTGGCAGAACTAAAGAAAAAGTTTGATAAGACAAATGTGTTAAACAGATTTTACATCATACCAACCATTAATGCTGTATGTATAGAGCACACGAGAACTATTGGCTCAATAGCGTGGACTATTGGAGAGTAAAACAGTGAAACGAGAATTGAGCTGCGACAGCTGAAACCTGGTAGATCCAAACAGTACAAAGTAAAACAAAAGTTATCAACATAACTTTTCATATCAGTTTTTACTGATAATTATCACGATAAATGTCACATTATTATTTTTTTTAGATACTGAATAAAAGTTGTAGTTTTTAATGAGTAGAGAACGGCAAACATGCCTCCATACAAAGCTTTCACAACGCATAAGTAACATATTGATATAGAGTGAACTTCTGTTGTATTGCTGTTGGTGAATAATATGTTGCAGTAATTTCTGTGATTGCTTTATCTCCCAGCTTTAGTGCAAGTTTCATCAGTGCCAATGTCACAATGAATTAACTTTGTGTGACAATATGTTGTCTGTTTATGACATTCAAGGCAGTAATGAACTCAGTAAAGGTTACACAATACTACGATGGAAGCTTTATTTCAACCGCTGCTCATTCTCCTTGACTAATAAAGTACTGTCTAAAGTACTAAATATACAGTCAAAAATAATGGCATGAAGAATCCAGGTCCAGGCACTCAATAAAGATAATATACAGTGTTTTATTTTGGTAAAAGAAACAGAGAGAACAGTACCTGTTTGATTCTTCTCCTTTGTAGTAGTCTGCTGCTTGTTCATAATGTGCAATGGCCTTCACAAAAGAAAAACAACAAACACTTCTATCTTAGGTGTTGTTTGAAACAAATATTGCTCATAATGTTCGTATTGACTACGTAGCTTTGTTACCTTTTCTATATCCACCAGTTCAGACTCGTAGATCTCTGCGATATTGATGTGGTGTTTGGCTGCGATAGTGAATCTTCCCTGGGAGGGAAGAGAAGGGGACTCATTATGAATGGGATCTATCGTGATGATGTTAATTCCAGCTCCGTTAAAGCCAGATTTACTCTTGTGAATGAGACTTTCTACAAGCATCTTACCATGTCTGTGTATATTTCGATGGAAGCATTTAAACACTTGATTGCCTCTTTTGGCAGCATTAAGGGAAGAGGAGGGAGCGGTTAGGACATCAGTTAGACATGCTTCGTTTTATCAGAACCTTCACACTTAGATACAACACTCGTGTTATTTAAGTTAGAGAATAGAAAAACAAAAAACACAAGAAAGACCCTCCTCTTCAGTGGACAAACCAAACACCTCAGCCTGCTACCCTCCCCCAAAACCAATGGTAACATCTATGCTTAGGGAAAATGTTAAATGAGGCCAGAGAGAGAACAAGGAGCTCTATAAATCAACTAACGGTAGATGCCAGGCAATTTAGGGGTAATAACTCTCACTGGATCAATTGCTTGAAATATCAACAGCAATGCAACTCAGGCAAATTGTACGGTGCAGCCTCATAACCAGAGCCTAAGTGTTAAGATGTCCTGATTTCCAATCCAAAATCTGAAAATTCTGCCTGGCGATAAAATATGTTTCGGTAATCTAGAAAATAGACAATCTACAATGATTCATCTTGGGATATTGAATTAATATCCCAATGTCCCACTTAAGAAAGCCTCATCTCTTCACTGCTGGTTATGAAAATCCTCTTGCTTAACAAACTATAAGTAAACAATTATATATGATTTACTCTGGGATGAGTTATATATACTGTATATTTTGAGGTTTGTAACAAATCAAGCAATTATTGTATTGCATCAAACTTTATAGTCGATGTTTCATTTTCAATAGAATAATGGTCAGAATTAGATTAGAGTCATTAAGAATTAAATGAGCCGTTCTCTGACATGTTGGGTCTGGACATTTTCCAGAAGTTGTCTTTTACACATGAACAAAGCGGCAGGAAATTCTCCGATCAGACGCGTTCACAACAACACAGGTGAATTATCCGGACTTCAGTGCATGTCTGAAAGCAGCTAGAGAGATTGAAGTCAGGTTTTAACTCAGTCAGCCGTCTCTTACCATTTGGGTCAGACTTCTTGTAAGCGTTCCCTGCATCGATGAAACTGGTGGCGCAGTCGTGTTTGTTCTGCAGCTGCATGTGGAGACGCGCGGCCTTGCAAAACGCATTTCCAGCAGCTGAAGACAGACAAACAGAGAAAAGAAAGTCACAAACAGCACATACTGTACACTTTTCTTTTAGCTCAAACTCTAATTTATGCACATCATTCCACTTTTTTAGCTTGTGGCTACTTCACAAAGTGCTGCACTTTGCAGTTACAGAGCATAAAAAGAGCACATAATCCCACAGCCTCTCAGGTGTGTTGAAACAGATTGGATATCTTGGGGAAACAAAACGTACCGCTCCAGTTTTTGGCCATCTTGAACATGTTGGCTGCTCTGCAGTACATCTCACATGCTTCTTCCACTTTGTGAGGTCCTCTAGAAACCACAGAAAAAAAGAAAACTGTTGTAAAAACACTTTACCTATTTTACATTTACATAATCATTTGTGTATGAAGTTTAGATTTAAAAATTAGGAATCATAGGTGACAGGGGGATGCAATGCAGAGATGGATGGACTCTACCAATTACACAAGCATCACCCTATACAGCCATTATAGATCTCCACCCCTCAACGGCGAGTGGACCCCTGGGATACTCTGGCCATTCAATCACAGCAGAGGATTACATCACTGCTTGGTCAGCCACAGAATTAGATGTATAAAACCTGCCAAGAATTAATACTGCTGAGTAGTAACATCTGGAGGTCACCTCAGATAGAGCTTTAGGGAAAACACAGTCACACAGGAGCATTACTGCTTTTTCTATTTTAGACACATGCAAACACAGCTTTATTAGCCCCATCTCTATTGTATTGCATAATATCCACATATAAGATGGTGTGAATTATATATAACCCAACTTATGGAGCCCACCAAAGTCACTGGCCCACTGAATATATTACTTTTATATTTACTATGCATTTATTTTAATCTGTGCTTAATGATATCTAAAAATCAATCTAGATAAAAAGCAAGGGATAGGAACCAGCACTTGCAATCTTTGCAATCACAAATAAGAGGCACATTTTCAATAGGAATATAGGTACAATGTATAACGGAGAACAACACATGCCAACAGTGTGTCTGGATTTGATATACTTGTATTATTAACTATCACATAAGCCAAAATCTTGTAAATGAGGTGTATCCTTGGAGAGTCATTGTTTTTGTACTTAAAGGTTCAGTGTGTAGAATTTAGTGACATCTAGTGGTGATGTTTTATGTTCCGCAACAGAGACCCTGTGGAAACCTTCAGTTGTCCTAAAAACTCAAAAGGTGTTTAGTGTGTACAGTTTAGAAAACATGGCTGCAAGAAAACAACCAGTTGTACAATTTAGATTATCACACACTTGTGAAAACATTTGGGGTTCCAGTCAGGTTCAATGAATAAATGCACTAATAAACCATGCTATAAAAACACTGCTGTGATAAAAGCAGTACATCCACAGTCATGGTGTGAGGTCATGTGGTCCATTAAAGGAGTTGTCTGGTTTTAAACTGAGATAAGAAATTATTCAACATAAACACTGGCACATACTAAAATTTTCATTTATTGGAGACTGACAACCAATTAAGTCAAAATATATATCAAATATCAAGTTAGCTAAACTGCTGCGTAGCGTCCATGCTAGTGTCCAGGGGAGAGTGTTGTGTTTACAGTGATAACAGCTAACCCAGCTAACCCAGCTAACGTAGCTCACTGACCTGCAGGGTTTATTACACTGACAGTGACTTCAAAACTCAAGCAGACGTCTATGGGGTGTAGCCGCGGAGCTAGCTGGAAGCTAACTGGATGTGTGTGTACAGAGAGGCTGCTGTGAGTTAGCTAGCTGTCTGTTTCTCTGCTGCAGTGCTGTCTTACCCTCCAAACATCCCTCCCAGAAAAGAGCCGGACGACTTGACTTTCTTATCCGCGTCGGCCATCAGCTGAATGGCTTCCTTCTCCTTCCCCGAGTTGTCCATCTTGTTTTCTCAGTGTTCAGAGGAGAATCTGTACAAAGTGTAAATCCCGCAGAGGACTGAGCTGCGTGCACCGAGGATTACAGGAGACGGGTTGATTTAGCGTGGGCGTGCACCAGCTAGCGGTTTAACACGAGCCCCGCGGCATCATGGGAGGTGAAGTTCCACATGCGGGAAAGAGAGTTGGCTTCACGACGGAAGAAACTACAACTCCCGCGCAAAACGAGGAAGTGTTTTTTATATCCAGTGTTACGTAGTAGCTGGTGGCAGATAGCGAGAAGTATCCTGAAGATTGATTGACTGTTAAATCAAATGTTATGGATATTGTAGAATGATAATATTGATTTGATTTCCCATCCAGAAATGCAGGAAGGAAAATAATACCAACCTTTCACTGGATTTCAATTTGAATTCAAAGAATATATCAACACAACTAATACACTCAACAAAAATAGACACAATTTAAAAAAAACATCTCCATCTCTGTTTATTTAACTGCTGGGCACATATCTGCAGTGTTGTATATAAGGTTTATAGATAGATAGATAGATAGATAGATAGATAGATAGATAGATAGATAGATAGATAGATAGATAGATYCATAGATGGATGGATAGATAGATAGATAGATAGATAGATGCATAGATGGATGGATAGATAGATAGATAGATAGATATTTAATCTTCATTAATTCGTCGTTTAATTCAGCAAAAAACAGTTTTAGATATTAAATATAAAATCGTATCTTCTGAAACAAAATCTTAAAAGAAGCAACTAAACCAGTGTACGATGCCTCTATGTACAGCAGGGGGCGCTGAAACATTACAACTGAACTGCAAACAAGTTGAAAGTACATTTCTAGTGTTGGTCAGTGACTAACTCCAGACACTGGAAATGGGTGAATGACAAACCTGTGCTGTAAAGTGCTTTGAGTGGTTATAAGACTAGTAAAGCATTGTATAAACACAAAGATATGATAATAATGACACATTTCATGCTTTTCCTGTATAGTCAAGCCTCCTGTGAAGGTCTCCATGTATTCCAAAATTCAAACGAGTACTAAAGGATCTGTATGTTCTCTCATCTTAAACTCTAGCCCAGGCATTTGCAATCTAAGGCTAATCAGTGAGTAATCAATTTCAAGGTTCACTGTGATTGCCTCTGCCCACTACAATCATCTTGGGATAAAAAAAAGAACACCTGCATCATGAGTTTTGCCAAATAGAAACAAGTGTGATTGTATTATCTGGTCAATTATTAATTACCGCAATAACTAAAGTGCATTGTCAGTTAGTGTGACATGGGTGTAGCCTATGTAGGTTGTGCCTGTACCAGCAATGAAACGCAGCTACTGATACAGTCAGTGTGATTTCAATGCTTCTCATCATTCTCTTTATTGTATTATATTCTTACAGCCTCATGTAAGATACTGTAGGTCCACCAGAAGGAGTTATTACACTGTGTATTTATCACCCACATTCGTTATAGTAGTAGTTTGTAGTTCTGAAGCCATCTGAGCTGCATGACGTACCACGATTTAAACGTTTGAAAAGAAATCTAAAATATGTTATTTAATCTGGAAGGCAATCGCAAGTTGTTCGAAACGATAACTTTGACTTGATCAGTAAGACAAACTCAAGTGATGTGAAAGAGGAAAGTCAAATAAACAAAAGTTGATGTTGTTTTTCTTTTATTTACATTACCAAAAGAACTCTACTGTCCTAAAATCACAGTTTATATTACACACTACAGTCTTTCATTCTCCCTGGTTTCTCATTCATACAGATTTACAGACCATGCATGGCTTTATCAATAAACAGACAGTATACTATAATGGTTGTGTTTTGCGTGCTTTCAAAATGCAATGATTATGAATATTAAATCACATTTCTACCATTACATCCCCCAAAACCATACACAATTGTCATTAAATACTCAATTCATACTAATGTCAAGTGTTTTCTTCCAATATATGATCTGCCATGCAACAAATAGCTTTGTGTTGCGACATGAAAGGAGTTTTATAGGAAGTGTGGTATTTGTATTTTAAGTATTTGTTCACGCATGTCTATTAAAATAGATCATCAGTTAAGTGTTGGTGATTTTGAAACTATGTAAAAGAAACAGTCACACAGACTGTTCACCATTAAGGCTGTGGTACATGTGCACTGTCGCAGATATAACATTCTTCAGCTTTGCCTCATATCAAGTGGATTAAATGAATAAAGGATATAATACATCCAGTATGCATGCAGTGTGTAATTAACCATAAAAGCTATTAAACCTGAATAATCAATAAGCATGAGTTTGAAAGTCTGGAAAGGAGAAGAAACTGTCCATTCAATAGGAAATGAATCAACCATGTAGACTCCTCACCAGGAGGTATTCTTTCATTTATGGCAACCTGCACTCATCCTCATGCACATCTACGAGGACTGTGCGTAGTAAGCAAACCTAACCCAGCGACGGATGTGCCACACGCTCTCAAATGATTTCTCATACCTGAATTAGCAATCCGAAGCTAGTGCTAATTGCAATTTAAAAATAACCCTTAAGGCAATGGCTACATGCACAGAAAAGACAGCATCATTGTGAACTTTACGAGTTTGCCACTTGAACAATTTTACACCTGTATAAAAACCATATGCATATAATTTTAGCACTTTAAACTAGAGATGAAATATAATGGCTGAATAAATATCCACTTTTAGGGTCTGCTGTTAAAGAGAACTGTGAGCAGTTCTAATCCCTAAACCCGTTGTTGAAGAAACAGGCATGACTGCCTTTAAGTTTTGACAAACCATCCACTTATGTCAACAGAAAACATAACACATATGTGAAGATGCATTACAGTAATTCAGTTTGGTTGTCTTGAGTGTGTGTGCAGTGAGTTCTATAGAAAGGTAGTTTAGGTGTGATTATAATGAGCTGTTGCCAGAGTCGGACTCTGCGCTGCCGTTACGGGACTTGGAGTCGATGCAGGGAGCCATGGAGCAGGGGATGGAGTAGCAGGAGCAGGAGGAGCTATTCATGGTCTCTTCTGTGATGACCTCCCGCAGGGAGTGCTGCTCCTCTACTTGGAAGATGTTTTGCTGCTCTCCTTGGTCCTCACAGATACTGGAGGAGAAGGAGGAGACATCAGTCAGTTCATTCTTTGAATATTGTCCTTCATTCAAAAACCTAAATCATGGCAGAGTTTTCCTGATCTGAAAACATTTTGCTAAAATAAAGTAGGATTTTGAGTAGATGAGCAGTGGGGCTTGGTGATAGGGTTGAAACATACATAGCACGTTACACCAACACTATGAATTGTATAAACTGCAGGTAATAATATGGCACATTTCAAATTAATTATGAGATAATCAAGTTTACGATTATCTGTCATCTTTCATCAGACTTTACATTTCGATCATATGACATAAACCATGAGCATATGATGGTATGATTCTACTGTCATGAAAGGACCCATCCTACTGATAATACTGAATTATTGCCAAGCACCACTGAGTAGTCATGTGAAGATATTGGAAGTGTTAGTAATATAGTAAGTGTTATGGAATATGTGGTCGCAGAGTGAGCCACTCCTCTGAAGCTGTGTTCTATTCACACAGGTTTCAACAAGTTACATTAAGGCAATCATTAAGCATGAGAAGTGAAAGAAAAGAAAGACAAAGATACAACTATGTCAAATAATTAAAATAATCCAATAACATAGGGGTTACAAGAATTACACCTGTGCTTTTCCACAGTGACATGCCAAAATTATCTGTGAAGTTATCGATCTCATCTCCTACAGTGAGTGGTCTCAAGAGAGGAAGGTCAGTCACCTCTGTGAGCAAAGTAATCCAAGGTGGGACATGTAATATTTATGTCAAACAACATAGATTGTGTTAACAGACAAGCTGCTAAAATGCTTCACCAAATAAAGATAAAGGTTGCAAAGAGCATCCAGTGCATTCACCCCTTTTATAAAGGGACCAAACTGCAGCACGAGCAGATCATCCACAAATGAAACGCGATAAAATAGAAAATATCCTTTTGAAAAATGAAATATACTGTTACATCTGACAAAGTGTCTGTGTGGTGACTAGTTCAACACATGAGGCTTGAGTGCAGGTCTCTTGGATCAAGGTTATTTGAGAGCAATGCAAATGTGTATATATATATATATGAAGGAAGACAGTCTCATGCACAGAACAAGCCATTCACTCTTTTTGCCTCCTTTGCTTCAGAAACTATATTGGATATCTCGGAGTATCATACCAGGCACAAAATGAGTCCTCAGAAATGATAAACATGGCAGTTGACCAATCAACAACATAGTCCAGAAGAAAAAAATCCCAAAAAAACTACAACTACCATCCTGGTGAGCAGTTGAAGCAGCAAGTTAAATATTAATGTAATATTAAGGCATTGGACCTACAGTGCTGTGCACTAAGTGACATGACACTGTAAAGTGAAAGTGATACAAAGAACACAGGCAGGAACCAGAGAGACATTACGTTATGATGTAGTGTATGTAATGTTGACATGGGGGAGTTGATGTTTCAAAAGTAAAATGTAGTCATACCAAATATTGATTTATGTTGCACAATCAGATTAGCACAAGTCTTAGAGGGTGGAATCAGGAAAAACTAGAATTTTAAAGTCTTCGTTTTTCATAAAATTAGACTGAATTTGCTTTACCACTATTCATGTGAGTTGGGAGTTTACATTTAAGTTATTTTTGTTTACTGCACTCCGTCTACAATTAACTGCAAAATAAAAACTATTCATGGCATTATTTTTGAAAGCGTCCTCACTTTACTTTTGGTGCCTTAAACATTTGTGCAGCACTGTGTGAGCAGTCAACAGTCTTTTATCATTGTCAAGGAGCATTATTTAGCTCCTGTTGCATTTTAATGAGCAACATATGTCAGGCAGCATTTGAGTGGGGAACCGAACGAAAAATCAGCCAAGGGTTGTAAAGTGAAAGTGAGTTAATGAGCAGAACACAGGCAAGAACCAGGCAGACATTACAGGACTCTGAAGAACTTGAGTCAAAATATGGCACCAAGCATTCACAAATTCTGTAAAAACAAAAGAAGTTACAGTTATAACAACAACAACCTGGAGGTTACAAATCTGTTAAATGAGAGATAAGTCTGGATTCACTAAAGACTAGAAGGTGGTAACAGAGTTCTAAGCTTCTGGTTTGATTTCTGCAGAGGTCAGGTCTGAGCTAAAGTTCCAACATTAAGAAAGAATGTCATGTTAATGTGAAACAGAACTGAAACAGCTGAGCAAACAGCCTCCGCTGACCGTGCAGGGGAAATGACTTCGCCCTGCTGGACACTCTTTATCTCAGCTTTAACAGAGACATATCTTATGCACCAACACACAAGTGCCAAGTGATTAACAGGGGTGCCAATGTTTGGTTACACAACTTTGAATCCTATGCTGATTACAAAGGCCATGTGATCACACTGTACTGTGGCATGAAGAGGTGCAGCACCGTAAACACACTCATTAAATATTAAAAACAGAAAATCCTGCTCAGTAACCTCAGTTGTGGTTTCAGGCTAAACACAGTGTGCCTTTTATGTTCTGTAGCGTTTGCAGAACAGGACACTGGGTAACTGATGGAAACACAATGATGAGGCTTGTCATAACAGAACAAGGCAGGAAAGTGTGTTTGAATATTTGATTTGATTTTGCTGAAAGTGATCAAAATAAGCTTAGTTTTCCCAAAGGTTGTTTGTACCACACATGCACTTTTACAATGAACATTAACATACACAGTAAAAAAGCTGGTCGTGTTTTGGTTGTGTGTGTGTTTCTTGTCTACACTTGTCTAGCACAAGGTCTTAAGGCAGCCAAAGTTAAAAAAGTCACATTTGAACCTACCTGTCATAGATCAACCCGTCGATACCCTGCTCCCTCAGCTTCATTCTGGTCCCGTGGTCGTTGTTGTCATCTCCCCAGCTGAACAGCACTAGGCCTTTAGACTGGGCCTCACCAATGTGGGTAAGGTTCTTCAGCAGCTCCTCAGAGTGAGCACTGATTCCCTAAAGAAGACCAATGAGAAACAAAATGGTCTTGTTTCATCTCAAAATAAAATGTCTTCTGATCTACTCACACTTGTGTTGGCTTAAACATTGGTAATGTCTGTGCGCCTTTATAAAATGTAACACTTTACAACATTCAGTCAACTTCAAATGTGACTTTGACATAAAAGTGATAACAGTGTAGATACCCAGTCCGACCCGTTGTGTTCCGAGGGTCCAGACAAAGATTTAAGAATGATATCCTATCTTTTTTCTCAGGCTCTGTTGGGTTCCCACAGAAAATTGCAGCCTGAGCTACACTCTGATAACAGACTATACTGTCCATGTTGTCTGGAGTCCATTCCTGATCCTCACTTAAACCATCACAGGGCATCTTAGAAACAGCTGACACTGCACTGTGCTGGCTGACTTGTTTGTAAGGAGGACTCCTGTTTTCACTGACATGAGGTCTGTGGGTTATTACACACAGTCCTGAGGGTGCAGCTGATGCCAAAACAAGTCAAATAAAACAAAATATGCTGATCTTTTCCGATTACGGACATTTCAATCAAACTGTTATGGTTACTGTGTCTCAATGGATTCACTTCATGTTGAATTGCTAAAATCTTGCTGTACATTTGAAGAGAGAGTTTCACATTCTCATTCACACCGTCCAACTGGATTGTCAGGTTTTAGTCTAAAGTGTCTATTACTGGAAGAACAGTGCTTATAACTGTAAACAACATTGAATTGAGGTATACTATATTTGGCATTTTATGAAACTGTAAGAAAATAACTTCATTAATCGGTTTGTAGAAAAATATATAAAATCTGTAAAACTCAGTGGATAAATCATGATAAATATTTAACTTGCTGCTTCAACTGCTCACCAGGATGTTCTCGCTCTGGGCGAAGCTTATGGCGATCTGAGTGGTCTGGCAGCGGATGTCCATCAGTTCAGGATACCTGTCTGAAATTCCCTGAGTGAGGAAGAGGATGGGGTACTTGTTCTGCTTGTTCCGCACCCTGAGGGAAATATGACAAGAACTCAGCAGAGTAATTATTTGCAACTACGACAGCGTCTGTTTACTGGCTAACTTAATTTTTCTTTTTAAATGGAAAAGAAGATATTCAGAAATTGTTTTGTTGAAACATTTCAATGATTGACAGGGAAACCAAGCTCGGCATGCTGATCAAAATGACCATACTATTAAATCAACATAAGATGTTATTGTGCTCACATGGTGCAGATATCTGGGTCAAAGCAGGAGAACACAACGCGTCTATTGCCACCTCTCTGCAGAACACACGACAGGATAACATCGAGGAAGGTATTCATGTTGAAGTAGGATGATAGGTTGCCGTCCCATGACCCGTCCTGTCAATACACAGCATTAAATAAACAGTTAATGATGAAAATATTATCACACAATGACTCATTCAACTAAAAGTAATTGTTGCTATACTCTGTTTATCACCTTTAACTGGCAGATCCATTTGAGTTCTATGTTAAAACCCACACTCTCAGGAACAGCCTGAAAGATCTGTAATAGAAAAACAGGTGTGAAACATGCAATTCATTGATTTTATTTTGATATGACAAAAGACAGTGAGAAGTAGGACAAGAGTAAGAGTGGTAGGGAATAAATAATTAAAAACAACTGGTTATTTAACAGGTTATTCACAGCGGCAGTGCCGTTAGTTATATGTTATTATTAACCATATTACCTAAAGGGGCAGGGAGTTCCCTATACAGTTTAATCAGCAATATGTAAAGGGGACAAGCTCATAAAGACTAGACAAGTTATTTAGTAACAATCATCGCCATAAAGTAATATACCTGTGAGAGTGAAGGGAATGGTTGGTGCTCGTCAATTTCCTCTTCGTCGTCCAGCAGATCTGAACAACAAACAGAACAGATTACTGCTTGTGCACGTCACTCAAACGATCTGCTGATCTAATCACACTTTGCAAAATGCAGTGATGCCAAATGAGAGAAAAAAAACACGACACAACCAATAGGAGCTTACCTTTGTAATCATTTGCTTTCATTGCTGTAACATGGGCCAGCTAGGTAACAAAACACACAGGTCAACAATAACATGTGTTGGTAACAGGGCTTGTTTAAGTGGGTACCCAAATCTTGCTGAGCAGGTTCTCTGTGTGACTGCAATGATAATAACTTCTCAACAAAGATTTGCTCACTGATCGTTTTGACCTTTTATTTATTTGTAAGATGTGTAGAGCACTAAGAAACAGACATATTGATTCTCACAGCAGAGAGAGCACAGCACTCTTATTTGCTTTACTTTAATCTAAAGGGTAACGTGTGTTTGTTTTTTTACCTTCAGAAGCTGCAGCTGATCAAAAGTCAAGTCTTTGACTGGCACCTCAATGAGCTCCAGTGAAGTCTTGTCATTTTTCTGTCAAGGGGAAAAAAAAGATTACACATGTGTTTATGCTCACCACTCTCCTAAATATACGACACTCCAGTGATTATTAGTTAAAGAAAAGTGAAAATACCAACAGAGAATTGAAACACTTAAGAAACTAACAAGGTTTTTCATAAATCACTTACAGTTTTCCATTATCAAATACAATAGACCTTAAATGTACCTTCTTGGTGGATATGCAGCATGTCAGATCATGGTACACAATGGGAACAGCATCCTTAGAGAGGTGAACATCAAATTCTACATAGGCAGCACCCTGCATGGAAATAATTAACATGTCATTAAGGCTGAAGTAATGTACATGGTAAATATTTTCTCATAGATTAATAATCTGTGTAACTCACATGCTGAGAAGCACTTTTGAATGAAGCGATAGTGTTCTCTCTCACTTTGTGGTGCCTGTAAAACACAAATTACCTTAGAATACCTTTGTTGAAAGGGAACAGATGCAGGACGAGAACTAATATTTGTAAAATTGCTAATGTTTGTTCTGCAAAGCATCCTTATCCAGTTGTTGGGACTCACTTTGCTGCATGTGTGCTGCCAGCTCCTCTGTGACCCACATTCAGAGCACTTCTTTTCTTCCAGTACTTGGCGAACGAGGAGCTCATGTCACACTGCAGCCCCTGGATGGGCTGAATCACCAGGTAATCCACTAGGAGAAAGTGAGAAATAAGGTGCAGTACAATAAGAACCTTCAATTTTTTTCAAATTTATTCTGTGCAGTGGTTTTTTTGTTTTTCTTTGTTTTGCTCTCAGTCAGGTCATTACTTCCACAAGGGAGGTTATTTTCTTATCTTTGATAATTTGTCTGTTAGTTAGCATCATAACACAAAAACTACTAAATGGATTGCCATGACACTTAGTGGGAGGATGTGGTATGAGTCAAGGAAGAGCCCTTTAAACTTTGGTGTGCATCCATAAATTGTTTTCTATTTCAACATTGTGAGAAAGGGCGAATTTTCTTGACATTTTCACCGATTTCCCAGATCCTGATAGAAAACATCTGGCATGTTTAGGTGACTTATATCTATGAATGATCGCGAGATCTAGCAAATTTAAATGTTTTCATAGGGCGTAGGCCTTTTTTCAGCCACTATTCTGTATCAAGTTCTGGAATAGATCCTGTGAAAGATAGGCGATAGGAGTCTTGGCTGGGGGAGGCGCTCAATTGAGTGCCATTCTAGTTATATGTGTGGGATTCATTTGCACAAAATCTTACCTCTCACTTTCCCGATGGTCTGTCTGGAATTTCGGCCCATGATGGGAAGTGTGACAACACCGTAGTCTTTGCCACTCTCCCAGAAAGTGGAGGAGAGGAGGCAGGCTGTGCCCATATGTCCCGGATGATCATCCCCTTGTACAACATGTTGACTCATATCCTCCTGTAATCAAATATGAGATTTGTATGATCAAATGAAACCATATAAATCTAAATTTGATACCAGATTTGTTCTTCCTTTTTTTTTTTTTTTTTTACATGGATTTGTTAATTAAGTTAACAGTATTAGTACCTCAAAGAACTCAAAGGTGAGCTCTAGGTTGTCTGGGTCCATGGTGTGGATACTGTACTCAGTCCACTGGGACGGCTCCAGGGCATAGCCACACTCAGGCTGCGAGTGACGCGACCTGTAGCCATTGGCACTGATCATACTGATCTCCAGAGTGGTGGTCATCTTGTTCCAAGAAGCAGGACTGGGTATATCTTCCTCTTCATCTTCCTCCTCTTCAAAGCCCTCCAATGTCAGCTTGATCCTGGACAGATTGGTAAAGCAAAGAGTAAATAAAATCATGATAATGTTGTACTCAGCTCCTCCTACAATAGTTATGTATGCAGGGCTCTCGTGACTATGGTAACAGGCAGGCAGGGTAACAGTAGAACTGTAATGCTGATCTGCCTCATGTCACTTTCAAGTAGAACTTTCACTGGCTGGTGTTGAAATCGACCTGCGTGTCATCCCTACCTGAAGCGAGACTTCTTGAATTTCTTCTTGGTGATGGACACCGGAGGCGTCTTAGAATAGTGCAGACGCAGGCGAATCTCTGTCTGGCACGTAAGCCACCCAGAGTCGACACATTTTACCCCATCTGCAGAAAAGAAAGGACACAGACAGGACATCTTAGCTTTTGGATGAAAATGTTTATGTACAGACAGTTGTGTATTCTGTTATGAACAGTATAAACTGTATATTATATGACATGACTGTATAAAACAGGAGGAAGTGACAACCATGTAATTTATTTAAGTATTTAATACACTAATAATAAGCAAATGTATGGTATGATACTTTTACCAAATGGAGTGTTTACATATTGTCTTTTCCATCCTGTTTGTAAAGATGGCTAAATGTTTTTTATCCAACTTACTGTTAATTCCAAATTGTCCATCATCAATATTCTGGTGTGATGCTGCAATAAAGGATAGGCATATTAGAAACTGGATAAAATCCTCTTAACAGTGTAAAAACAAATCAAACAACAGCATTTACAGTGTTTTCCTCATTTTGAACTCATCTTTAAAAAAAGGTGTAGTATTTGTTCTATCTGAATGGGTTGATCTGGTTTCCCAAGAACCCTTTAAATCTCTAAACTACAACTTTAAGTATGCGCATGTCATTCGGGTTAATTTAGCAGAAACCAAACCAAACACTTCAGGGATGAAAATCAAAATAAACACATCATATTTTTAAGAAATGGTTGTGTTTTAGTAGGATATGCTAGAAAAAACTAACAGGGATGGGGTGACAGCCTGGGGTCAAAAAGGACATTGAGCAGGGTGCGGCCACAGCTGCAACTATTCTTCCTATCAAGCTCATTCTGAATAAGCTTTGTCTGTGTTCGGCCAACACAATGGGTTTTTACCTACAGAGGTCTACTATATCAGGTCATGACATCTACTTCTCTGCAGTGTTTCCTCTTTGGCTATAGATTATTCCAATGAGTGTAGCCTCTGGTCTCTGCCAAACAGCATGCACGCGCACACGCGGCAACAAAAAAAACTGTTCCAGAGACTACCAGTATATTACAGTTCCAGTAGAATCCCTATTCATTTCTTAAATTATTAGATTTGCTATCATACCTACATGGCACACAGTGCTGATCTGACATTGTAACATACCTTATGTTCTGTACAGTATATAGGAAATTGCTGTTTCTGTGGCTACATCCATTAATCTGTTTTTATTTTAAAACAGCTTTTTAAAACTAAAACTATCTCCATCCACATATTTTTGTTACTTCTGGAAAATACTAACAAAAAGCAACAATGAAGGATTTCTCTTCTTGGACAGTGGGAAAGGTTGAAAACCAATGTTTTGCCTTCCCTGTTCGTAATCGAGCTGTGACTGATAAGAACCAATCAGAAATGTGCCATTTTTTCTAAACCTCTGTGTTGTTGCCCAGCCAGACTACAACGCAGCTCTGGAGGCTTCAAACTAACAGGGTGGCAGCTTTTCCAAGCTTCTCCGTTTTGGGCTCTTGAAAACTCTGGAGTAGCGTGGACACACTTTCCCAAACCCAACCACACTGTGCACCTTTAATTGTTATTTTATACCTGTGGGGCTCATCGTGCGGGGTTGGTGATGTGTCTCCCACACATTGACTATCACTTGACAGGGACCATCTGCGCTCTGCAATTTCAATGTTTGGCAAAAATGTTAAGGTTTTCAAATCATATACAGTGGCTTTGGACCAGATAGTGAAAAAGGAATAGTGTGGTCAGTCAGCCACCATGAGTTGAAATCTGAAAAGTGGATTTGTTAGGGTAGAAAAAAAGGACTTGGAAAAATGTCTTTATTTACATATTAGACTGATGTCTTCATCTGTAATAAAGCCATAATTAGCAATAGCTATGAGTTCAGCAACTCTTTTTGACCTTTAGTGAACTCATTGTAGAGTTGAAGCTGAGGAGATTGTACCCATCATACCCACAAACATCCACAGGTCAAAACAACTGATATTGTTATATCATTTATATTGTTATTATTGTTATCTATATTGTTGTTCCAGCTTTTCCTAAGGCGTTTTTTTCAATTTCAAGTTTAGCTCAGAGTGCATAGATACACGTATGCAGAATCTTTAACTTCTATAACCTTACATCAGCTACAGTTTGATATGTTTCAGCTCACAATAAGTTTGAGCCTAAGCACTGCAGTAAACAAAAGGAGCTGTCTGATAAACAACTCAGCAAAGAGGAAGTCAAGTTAGAGAAGGCTTTCCTTCTCACACAATGTGAACTCCACCCAACAGAAACTATAATTATACTGTGAAATAAAAATATTTTCCAGAGAGACGTCTGACATCTGACTTGTTTTCCTTGGCTTTCATTTCAGTGAACTTTAATTGCTCATGTGATTGCGTACATCTATGTGCAGATGAGAGATGAGCTAAGCAGAGGCTTGGAAGGGGCTCACATGCTTAGATTACAGTAGGCAGATTGCCTGGAACTCTGTGTTAAAACACACACGCAGGGAAGGGAAAGTGACAAGCAAATATTATAAGTGTTATTTGCTTACGAACTTGGGCAAATGTAACGTTCTCTAAATCATGGTGTAAAAGTCAGAGCAACGACAAAAGAACGAAGACAACCTGTTTTCTCCTGACTGTTGCTGAGTAATTATGTGGGTATCGACTGACAGAAAACAATCACATTACACAACACTGACATTCACTATGAATTTACTTGGCCTTGAATTAAACAGTATTTATTATTTTGTCAAGAAAAACACAATTAAGATTAAGGATTTCTCTGTGATACTTATTAGGAAATAAATCTGTTATTTATAAAGGTAAACAACTAGACAGAAAGGAGACTCTGCTCACCTTAGACTCCAAAAAGAAGCCCTTGAAATAGCGGTACTTGGTAACAACTCCTTTTGGTACAGTGACCGTTGTGGTCCATGTATTTCTGTCAGAGAATCAACATACACATATTTTAGAAGGGCAGATATTTTTATGGAACCTGATTCCACACATGGTTGTGTTTTTAAAAAAGTGAGGCATTTAACATATACTTGAACTTACCCATCATTTCCATCAGGATGTAAGGTGACAGCTTTTTCATAGCTCCAGCACCCCAGGGCTTCACAGCTGCCAACAACAGCAATCAACTCACCTAGAGATGTTCAAACTCACATGTTACCTAATGTAACTTTAGACATTACAACAACAGAGCTGACATTTCTAAAACCCGTTTCTAAACGTGTTCATGTTAACTTGTTTAGAAATACTAACATGGGGCCAAAAACATGGTGAGACCTGCTGTCTAATTAATGTAATTTAACTGAGAACACACATCACAACTAAAACAGTGATTTCAATATCTAGCTACTTCTACCTACTAATTCCACAAACATCTGTCAGTCTGTAAGTGGACGCACTCGAATATCGTTCATCTTATCAGCATCACACTCGGTATAGTGGTTTATTCTTAATGGCACAAGGAGGTGCAGTCAAATTCTGTGCAATTTGGACACACAATAAGATCAATATTAATAAAGTTTGAATAAAACATGTCAGACTGACAGACATTCACGGGTAGTCATAGCAACATTAACAGAATGACTTCCTGTTTGTCTTTAAAGAAAAAAGCAGAACATTAGATTTGATGCTGCAATGTGTATATCAAGCTGAATTACAGAGCTTTCATTTTGAAAAGTTGTAAACTTGGGTTTAAAGATAACACCAGTAACTCAAACTTATATATAAATCATGCATGTGAACAGTAATGACGTTAATTTGGTTTCAATTCAATGAAAAACATTGACTATAAAATCTTTTGTTGCAGATAAACCAGGTAGGGTGAACACAAAGTTTTCTAACTTCACTCTGCACCGTAGACTGTTTTAAAAAAAACAAAATGCACATAACGTGATGCACAGAAACAATAAAAAGTGACAGTGTAGTGTAGAACTGTTTGAGGAGGACTCTCTGATGACAGGGAATAGTTCTGGAGTAGTTCTGGAGCATCAACACGAGAGAACAGACCATTCCAAACCAGCAGGTTTAGAGCAGGCACTGTATTCATGAACAGAAGGATCTACTGGCAAAACAAAACCCCAGATCTATAATTTAATCAAATTGAGAACTCCTGATGTCAAAGCTGTCCCGACAAGTACGTGCTAGCCCCTGTATGTTGAACAGTCTTCAGTCAGGTTTGACACACACATACCTGGGGACGTGTCTCCTCTGACAACTAGAGTCAGCTGAGTGGTCTCCATGGTTGACACAGTCACACACAAAGGTTGGCGGCAGGAGCAGAGCTATATAAAAGATATGTTACATTATCAATAGATCAATATATCGGCCATGTGGAGTAGGAGAGAAAAGCCCAAGAGTCTGTTTTCATTACGTTAGAATATCACGTGGAAAGCAGCGACCTCGTCCTGCTGGTTGTTTACTAAATAACAAGCTAGTAAAGCAACAGTTACAAGTAGAGAACAACCAAACAGCAGCTACCTTCTGACTTTATGGCAGCGGTGTGTCGTCAGCTCTTGGCAGTGTCCTCCTCCTTCTCCTCTTCGTCCTCTGCTCACGATGAAGTCATCTTTGCACCCCGCAGAGAGAAGTCTTACATCAGGCAAAGCGAGCCCGAGCCGCCGGCGGCAGCAGCGGCGGCAGCGGCAGCATCACTCCTCCGTTAGCCATTACTGCCTTGTTCGTAAAAACGAGCGGATATTAGCCCGAGCTCGAGAGGAAATAAAGATGCAACGGGCAGCAAATTATTGTTTAACAGGAGGTGGCTGTTAAAATGCGGTCAGAAGGTTCCCGACAGAGCGGCAACTGAGGAACAGCGGCTCAGAGGAGTCCATTAACAAAGACTTTCGAGATGAGAGTGATCAGCCAAGCTGCGGCATAACGAGCGTCCAGCTGACCGCTCTCAGAGTAAGACCACACTTCCGGTGTGGGGTTTCAAAGTAATGCACTTACTGACGCTGCACTATAGCAGACTCTTCAATATTAACAAACTCTAAAAGATTATATAACACAGAAAATATAAGTACGACACTATATAATTACGATACTAAAGGTAATTACTATAACATTACTACCAGTTACAGCTACAGTATGCATATGTACTTTTAATCTGTTACTATTATTGTTAGGTTATATAATATATAGTTGTAGTACACTATTTGTTTGTTTTTCATAATAAAGAGTACAGGGTCTGTATGAACTAATAATCTATTACAATTATTGTTGTATAGCTGTTTTATTTTGTCATTAGAACAGTTCTATTATTATTATTATCATTATTACTAGGGGTAGTATCATTACTATTAGTACCACGTTTATTTGTACTGTTCTTTGCTCATAATGTATTTACTGTATATACTATATATCCTTGACTGGTTTACATGATGTAACTTGCTTCATTGCGGCTACATTGATCATCATCATCATCATTGTGCCACTCCTAAAGTGTTTTGTGGACTCAAACCCTTCACCTCCATTGATCCACAGATCAAATATTTTAATAAGTGATTTCAAGCACAAAACATGTCACCGGGACATTTGACGCTTTTATTTTTGAGAGCACGGTTTCCTTGTCCGCTGTGGTGCTGAACCTTATTTTTCCAGCTTGACGGATCTGCTTCATTCCGCCCTGGTCCGGATCTGTGTTGGCCTGTGTGCCATGCTGCATTAAGGGACCGTCGGAAATTCCTAAACCACGAGCTGAGTGCACATGTTGGACCCATCAGGTGTAAACAAAGTGGAGCCACACACAATGCTGCCTAGATGTTACTATAAAAGGCAAATTTAATATTAAATATTAATTTTAGCCTCGAGCAACACGTATTTTTTTCCTTTGCCAATATGTTAATGCAATGCAGTGCAACCCTGATAAGTAATAGACAAGAAAGTAAAATCTAGAACAGGGGTCACCAACCCGGTGCCCCCAAGGACCACGAGTCGCCCGCAGGCCTGTTCTAAAAAGAACACAACCCACCAGTGAGCTGCGTCTAAAACTTGATATGCGTTTCTAATCAAATTTATTTTTTATTTACTTTTTATACTGTCAAATGTGTATTCTCATATTGAAGTTGACTATGGACTATGAATTGTTAAAAGTGTTGTTCAGTGACAAGTGAAAATGGAACTTTTTCCTTATGAAATGTTGTAGAAGTGATCATCTGAAAATGTAAACAATTCCTGAGATTAATAGAAATAAAGTGTTAAATATTGATATTATCTGGTTCTCACCTCGTTAAGTCATTGTCGATAATTATTGTGAGAAATCATTAACGTGATCAGTGTCTTCACATAGATGAGTATCATTTATCATTAATAATAATATATAACTAAAGGCAAACTGAGCAAATGTGTTATTTCAGAAGAGTGTATCAAATTGATAGCCCTTCGTATCAGTACCCATGAAGTAGTTCTCAGTTTCAAAAAGGTTGGTGACCCCTGATCTAGAAGATGTTCTTATCTATATCCATTTGTATGAATTAACAGCAAATACTTATAAGGTTATTAGACAAAAGGAAAGGGAAGTTTACGAGGTGTCAACAAAGCCGCATCAGGGGGATTGTTTACATCGACAGCACATTGGTGAAATCATCGGTAAATAAATAATCATGTAAGTTAAAGAAATAAAAAGTCTGGACACGTGTGGACATACCGTCAGCTGAGGGGACAAACGTGACCATGTTGACGTTCTGTGTTCTCGATGTGTTTCGAGGATGTGGCGGGGGCGGTGACTGGAGGAGGGGGCGTCTCACTGACGTCATCAACGCTGCGTACTTGACTGTTGACCTAAATGTTTCCCTCCAGAGTTGGCAACGACCGTTTTCTTGGAAAGTGTTGACACGTGGGTTTCTCAGAAACTAAAACGGGACAACACCGTTCCCAGTGTTTGGTTGTCAGGAACACACTCTGAGGCCTGATTCAGAAAATAGACTCAAATGACATCTTTAAACCCGTTAAACCTGAGACCAATGTGGCTTTCTATTCCAGAGACTGAGTTGATACCAAGTTATTGAGTGTGATTAAAATTGAATTCTTATAGACATCTCCATCTTCTGCCTGCTCTCCAGTTTTGCAAGTAAAGTTAATATATGCATTTTGTAGATATGGATGATGTGCAAATATTGAGATGGCTGTATAGGTTTGAAACATATAAGTAAATCAGTTATCTGGGTAAAGCTGTGGAGAGGAAAAATAAATATCTTTATCAAGTCAATTTATAGATATGTAACAGTTCTGTATGTGTTCATTTCACTGTTGCGTGAAACAACACGTTGTGACTTCTTTATTTTTTATTTTGATATATGTATGAATGTAATGTTGTACTACTACACCTGTCACTTAATTTCTCTCATATTCCATACTGTGTCTAGTGTTCAATATTATTTAGAATTGTTTTAACTATGTCTGTATAAATATGTTACACTACAGTAACTTGAGATCCACTCTCTGTGTATCAACAAATCTTATCTTTATCTGTTATAGAATATATCTGTATACTTTCAGAAACCAAACCGACTGTCAGGGTCTCACTAGTCATAATTTCAAGACATAGATCTTCAGATTGCAACAAAAAAACAAAAATGAAAGGGACTAACTCATGGAAGAACCCGATGACCCTGTAGACTCACCACATTCTGACCTTCACACTCATCATGTTACTTTGGTTGGTAAGAGGTCCAGGGTCATAGTCCATTCAGGAGGGTAGAATAGCCTGAGTTATGTCCAGAGTATTTACAGTTGCCTTGCTTGAAGCTAGGAGTTAAAACAGCTGAAAAGTATATTTGGTCAGTTGAAAGATAATTAAAGAATAACATTTCCTGTAATGAGGCCCAGCGCAGCAGAATCTGGATTCCACCTCTCGCCAAATGTCATCTGGTACCAACTTCAGTGAATGTCAGACATTGCTGAGCTCAAGCTTTGTTCACATTATTCCCCAAAGTTCAGCCTGATAAAAACTTTCATATATTCTCAAACAAAATTGGCTGCACAACATCAGTCAGAGATCTGAAGCTGAAAGAAAACAACCTGCAGGATTCAGGAGTGCAGCTGCTGTGTGATATTGGCTGTAGATAGATAGATAGATAGATATTTGATATTGCACTTCTTTACCAAACACATAGCGAAGCAAAGATCCTCTATGATGCCATGAGAGGAGAATGGTACTGGTTGTGCTCCTCAATGTCAGACAGCTGGGTGTCCTTACATACTGATTTATGTCTGAAAGTGTTGATGTTGATGAAGGAGATGATGAGGAGGACGGCGTGTGTAGAAACAAAGTGAACTGCTTTCTTTTGCAAGTGTTTTTAGCTTCTTGGATGGTGGCGACACCTACAGGTTGAGCATGTGCACTGCTTTAAATGAGCAGCCTGCTGTGTCCTGCATGATAAATTGTCAATCAGAGAGGGCTGCATGTGCTGCTGTAAGATAGTGGTTAAGTTTATCGACGCTGAAGAGAAGGCACACACTGTATTTTTACGTGAATTCAGTTTGGACTGTTATGTTTTAACTTGTGTTATTTATTGTATTTCAGTTTATCACAGTTTTTGTTGGTTACAAGGAAATAATTTCTGGTCAAAGATTAGTTGGAGCGAGGTTTATCTGTTCTAGAAGAAAAACAGTGTGTGTGTGTGTGTGTGTTTGTTGGGTGTGTGAGCCCTCTCATGATGATCCTGACAGGTTGAGGCAGCAGCCCAGATAACACATGGATGTGGGCCACTTCAGGCAATGATGCAGCGCTTCAGGCCTTCTTGTTGCCTGGAAAATATGGATGAGAACCTCATAAAATAGCAAATGTGGCCCACTTTCGCCACAGGCCACTTTTGGCACCTTTGGTTCACATTCAGTATTGCTATGGCTCACTTGTGGCTCAGATCCAGCAAACAGGAGCGGACCGACCAAGTTCCATTATTACACACACTATGTGGGCTTGATGATTATGTGGCAATATGGGCTTAATCTAGGCCAGAGCCACTTTCCTATGTGTGAGCAGCAACTTGTGTGTAGCCCTGAGGTCTTACAAAGATTTTAATTAAAATTAGACTTTGTGAGATACCATCAAGTCAAAGCTGTGAAAGAACTATCAGGTGTAGCCTGTAGCCTCCTCTAGTGTTCAAATGAAAATACTACACCTTGAGAAGCAAGGAGGAAAAAAAACATTGCAGTAAAGAGTGAGCATATCACTGCCCCAGAAACTACAACTTCAGCACTGTGGCTCCCATTAGTGTAATCCCTCATTTCCGACATGCAACTGGCCTGTTCCCAGGGATTGAAGTGTTCACAGTTTGTAAACAGTGAAGCGCGATGATGAGAATGATGAGAGTTTTGATGAGCTGCTCCTTAAAGTGGGCTGTCTTCATTTTATCTGGTTTTGTTAATGAATACCAATGGGACGCTGCTGCGATGAAGAATTATCATCTCCTACGGGCGGGAAAGGTTGTGTGAAGTGCATGTACGGGCCCCTGATTTCTCTAATGTCCGTCACAGAGGATCAGTGCAGAATGGTGGTGAGAGAGAGGAGAGGGTGAGTGAATATGAGGACTTGATGTCAGAGTAAAGGAAAGAACCACGATGAATGATGAGACTGCAGCATTATAAATATTTCAGGCTATTTCTCAGCACCCAGCTGTGCTCTCATTACAGACGAGATTTATCAGTCACAACCTCCTGAGCTCATTCATTTACATGTTTGTAACTTCTATATACTTACTGCCATCATTGAACAGCAGCAGATTAATTATGGAGGAAAATGTCCTTAATTATACCAAGAATAAATCACAGTTACTTATCTTTACTTATGGTACAAAAACAATCTCAGTCCTACTGATCCACTGCATAACACCATCATTTAGCTATGTAGTTGTCCACATTTGATAAAGTACACAGATCCAACGATAGGTAGCATCCCAGTAGCATCTTT